AATCACGAGATATTGACTACAATTACATAAGGAAAATTTCATGTCTACCAAATGTTTTGAGTAGAGTCCTTCCTGTATTAATCATCAGCAGAAGCCAACTGACCATTAAAATGGAAATGGGTATTTAAGCTGCCGATGAAAGTTAGGTACTTTTTTTTCATATGACATCTTGCTCTATTTGGACTTCAGTGAATTTAACAATACCTGCAAGAAATAATGTCTTTTGCAGCCTACGGCATCATCTGCCCTTAGGCTTTAATTTTGCCCCTGTTTGAACACTCTCCAACATATGCACTTCTCTTTTGTCTATTATCCTAGAGTTGTGCTATTCCCAAATATTGACATCATCTACTTTTATCAGCATTAACTGCTCTGAAGCTTCCCAGCCTCATGCTCAGCTCTATTTCTTCCTATTGATTATCTTCCTCACTCCAGCAGGTAGCTAGCCAGCGAGGCTGTCCTGAGAAATAGCTTCCAATGACTTTATACGCACAATTTACACGGAATTGTTTAAAGAAGATATTAGCCTCAATACAAATCAGTGAACCTCATTTAGTCAATACTGCACAATTCCGCTGTTGGCACCCTGTCACATGTTAGTCTTTACAGTCAGCTGCCGTACCCAATCTGCACATTAGCCATAGTATTTAGTTTCATATTAAAACGAAGCCGGGTTTTTTCGCTTTTGCTTTTCTTTTTGAAATCTTTTCGGTATCCTTTTTACATCACCTCTCTGAGCCATGTGATAGTAATATATTTTGAAATATAAAAACCTGAGATTAAATGTTTGATTTTTGACAGTGTTCTTAAATATAAAAAATTCAAAAGGAAATACTGTTAAGTTAAAATGGAGTGTTTTTCATTAAGTCCAATCAAATGGTAGACAACAAAGGATCTTTTATTTGAGAATATGAAGTGAAAATGAAAACCAGAAAACCTTTACTAAGAAAAGGTCCAGCTAAATTATGTTGGAAGGAGGTCTCCAGATTGAGTTTGGGTGTTTCTTTTGCTAAAAGTGAGTTATACTAAGATATGTTATGAAGAAATATTTTACAAAGAAGCAAAATTTAATGCTCTTTGGAGATGAAAATGGGGTCTAAGGACAGCTGACTTTGAAAATAATTCACAAGAAAGATCGCATATGAAAAAAATTGCCACAGCATCTGATCTTTCCTTATAATCATAACAGGGAAATGTTTGGGGGAAAGTAATGCTAGTCCCCTCTTTCTCTTCCATCGCAATGCTGTAAAATTCTAGAAGGAGTGTTTACATTTCAGAATTACCCCTCCTTAAACTACTAGTTTACGATAGTTAATGAGACTATGTTCAAATATTGAAAACAGGAAAATTCAAATGAAAATCTCAATGTGAAATATAATATAATAAAATAACTAAGCAACATAATACTACTCTGAATGTTTGCGCAAATATTACAAAATGAACTGCAATACATTAAAATTCTTCAGCGGTTATGTAATACATAAGTGAAGGTTTACATATAAAAGCTTGAGCTATCAAAAAAAGGGATCTTTATATCATATTAACTTAATTTTTTTTACTTGAAAATATCCCTAAGATCTTGAAGTGAATTTGAAAAGTTGTTATTAAGTGCATTTGCATATCTCTTGGTAAACTAAAATGGTGAAAATAGGCAAGGTGCTCAAAATAGTCTCTTCATTATAAAAGTGCATCCTATAAATTCAGTTGCTGAGTGGCAGAAAGATTTGGGGAAATGAATGGTACAGAAAACAATGTAATTTTAATTCTAGAGATTTTTGAAGACTATGTATCATTTTTTAAGTAAAAAGGGTTGAACAAAATGACATCCTAAAATAAAATTATGTATCAAATCATTGCAACTATGTCATTGTTTACTCTTTTCATTTGGCTCTTAAATGTTAAAGGTGCATTTTGTAAGGCTTCTCTTTTTTCTTTTCTTTTCTTTTTGTCTTTCTCTCTTAACTACCTAGTTGGGAGCTAAAACTTTAAAGCCCAAGCAGAAAAGACATGTTAGAAGATGGCCTGATTGTTCTTCTTCTCACACATTTATTGCAAACTGACACTCAGATAACTTCTTTTTTTAATCATAAAGATTCAACAAAGAGCAATTCTATGCCAAGGGAAAATCATACCCAGGCGAGAGAAAAATGCTATAACTGCATACTCAGACTGTATAAATGCAGGTATGGCTTGGATAATTGCAATGTTTGTGTGAACGCATTTAAAGAAGTCAATAAAATAAATATGATAGCATTTAGACATAATACTGTGTCTGTATATATGCATGCATATATATAATGTGTAATGTATGACTAAATAATGAACTTCATACTACTACATTTATCATCATGGTTTTAAATTGTGTGTTTTATAAACTCACTTAAACAGAAGAACATTTGATGCAATTGTAAGCATTAACAATGCACACAAATTAAAATAAGTTTCAAAACTAAAATCAAAATAACCTTATAAATATTTAAAGTAAATATGGCTAAGATGCCTCCCCCTCCTAAAAATATCTTTAATCATAATGCTTTAACAGCAAGTATATGTAATTTTCATATTATATAAAGCTAATTATAAAACAATGATATTCCACAACACCTTCAAAATAAATTAATTTGTGACTAGATTTGTTTTAAGTTTCAAAAATAGTTTGTTAATTAAGACTTATCTAGAAAGGCAAGCATAATCTTATATTTACAAATATTATAGTCTTTATAATTTTCATAATTATTATGTATACTAAAATACTGAAGATCTATAATGACCACTTTCATAGATTACACTAATATTGTCCCAAAAAAATCATACTGGTTATTTTATCACTTTTTGTTGAAAAGAGTATTACAATACAAAAATTGCCATATTTTTAAAATAAACCTCTTCCATATACATTTTACTCTGTTTAACCAAATCAGAAACGCTACTATAAAAATTAACTTTAAAACATTATATTTCATTCTATGGGTATCATCCCATAGTTTGAAAATTGTAAACTTATTCAAATCTAAAAACAATTTTTAGAAGAAATAAAACTTTTAGTGCCATAATAAATTGAGAATGCTAAGGTGATTATTACTTTGTCACTTACATAATTATGTAACTTTTAAAAAAGAATAGTTCATTTAACTGTACTTCATAAAAAGCACAGTAATACTATCATGAATGTTTTGTCCAAGGTGGAAATATTTTTAATATCTAAGGCATATATCTATACAATTTCTAGGACAATTTACATAACTAAAACATAAAATATAAATAGTTAATCTAGTTACATTTTATAATTTGTTCATTTTAGACCCAGATCATTTTAGAAAAAAAAGTGTAAAAAGACAAAAAGAAACTGATATTAGCTTTGTATTGTACGGAGTATATTAATGCAACTATTACCTCCTGTGTAAAAGAAGAATAATTTTGCAATCCTATAAATGCCTTATATCTATATATTCATTTTGTGCAGAGAAGAAAGGCATTCTGATAACATCAAAAGCAATGAAGTGTGTACATGTTTGTGTAACAGGGTAGAGAAAAAATATTCAGTTCTACAGAAGAACCAAAGTAGAATAATAACACATTTCAAAATTAATATCAAGATATGCTATATAAAGAAAAGTTATTGATAATTTTTATCTCTTGTCCATCTTCCTCTCTTTCTGAGAATAGATATATCAGCTTCTAACAAGAAAGTGCACATTTGAGATAAAGGGAAAAGATAACAATGGAAATTCAAAATAGGGTACTAAGGTGAAAATTATTAAGTTAAAATTTAAATCAAATAGATATTTCTCTTCTTACATATGAAATAAAAAGTCTGTAAGGGGGGTATTACAATTTTACTATATTTGAATTATATCATAAATTTCCTATGTAAATATTTATATAATTATCCTCTTATAGCATTATAAAATATTAAAATTCACATAAAAATATTATTTGATCAATCTGAAGTTGTGATTCAGTGTCATAAACATCAAAACCCTAAGCAAAGAAGAAGTTCCTCATCATTTTATTAAGATATAATGATTTCACATTCCCTACTTTAATATTATGTGTTATTATATGTTAACTATTCATTGGCTTTTCAAATTTGTAGTTTCTTTAATATTCTAAAACTAAAATGTAAATAGTAATACAGGTGAGCAATCAAGTATTTGCATACGCACCGAATAGTCAATATTTTGCCAGCCGTTAAGTGTATATGTTTAAATGGTTTTAACCTCAGAAATTCTAGTGCAACCACATTCAAGTGACACAGTTAAATGCCTTCCACAGAAAAGATCCTATAGAGTGAGTATCATTTCCGTATCTAGATTACTGAAGTCTGCATTAAAAAGTCTCATTCTGTACAAAAAGAAGCATATTTATACTATGAGGTCAGATATGTTGTTTTTTCAGGAAGTTGACAAAATACAGGAAACAAAAAGTTACCTATGACTCTCAAGTGAATATATTCATCCCCTAATTCCTAGGCCATTAACAAGGATAAAACTACCCCACTCCACAGTGCCTCCCTTTAAGATGATAAACTAAGTAGTGTATGTGTGTGTGTATATGTATGTGTGTGTGTATACATATATGTATATAAAATCAAATCAAGGTATAGGAGGAGAAAACGTGAGGGCACAGAAAGAGGAATACCTTTTTCTTAGCTCCACAAAGGGTTGCGGGCCTAATTATTTTTAAGTATAATCCAACCAACCTCTTCTCATGCTTAGCTGCACTGAGTGACACTATTTGTGATGCCCAGTGTGCTGAAACTGAGCAGGTTGCTGTCAGTTTAAAAATGACTATAATAAAAGTGACCATGAAGATGGATCTTGTGATTTTGCGTTTCTAATCAGTCATCTGTGAAGAACACTTTTGCTTTGATTCAGCAGACTGGTGACAGCCATGATTGATAGTGCACGAGGATGAAAAAAGGTTATTAACTGTCTTCCTATTAAGCTCAATGTATTGCCCCTCTAGGTGCATCTCATACTTTAAGTTAAAGTACTTACTCAGGTAAGGTCAGGAAGAAACTCTACTGGAGATAGAATCCACTATGATGAAAATGAGCCAGGCATTGTTGCATTATTGTTTTGAATGTTGCTTTTAAGTATGTTCAATTTCAATGTCCTACTCATTAGCTAAAAAAGGAGGAATCTTCCTTACAAGAGCTGGAAACACTCAAAGTGTAGAAAACAGCTGCCAATGACAAGATTTGAATGTAGAGCTAACTAGGCTAACTAGCAACATGTATGTGGCACGTAGACACGCCTACATTAACATAGGTGTGTTAAGAAAGCATTTTAAGGGTGGACACTAACATGGACTTATAACTAAAATTTAAGATCTGTATAGTATATTCAAATACTCTTCATTTCCAGAATCATACATATAAGGGAAGAGTATGATTAAAAAATAATTCCTAAGTCTAGAATATGCTTTCATTTGGCTATAGTGTCTAACTTCATTTTAATTTAAAAGTTAGAATTATATGTAGACGATATGTAGATAAGTTTTGAATAGAAGTATCATTTCATGATTTCATGTCTTTGACATGTGTGTGTGCCCATGCACACACACACACACACACACACACACACACACACACATGCACATGCACAAACAGTACCCTAAGGTATATAAGGATTTGCTATAGCTAAGGCTATATCATTGAGTGAAATAATAAAATTTAAAATGTTATCATGTTTCTTACATTCATTTATTCTTACTGAAGCCAAACTATACTAGAAAGATATACTCTACTTTCTATATATAGAAAGATTTCTATATATGTCACTCTCCTTTAAAAGCATTTTCAATTTATGAGTTTAGTATTGAGAGATAAGAGAGCAAACATGTGCATTTTCACTTAAAATCATAGTATTATATTTCTGCTTACTTTCCTACTATAAAAACTCAATCCATGTCAAGCATAATTTGAATTAGCAAATATGTATATAATTATATACATATATGTGTGCATGTATATATAGTTAAGATTGCCAGTAACTTAGTATTGAGGTAACTATAAAAACTAAAAGCAAATTTCTGCTCTATGCACTATAGGCTTTTTTGTTAAAAAATTGAATAACCCTATAGTGTAGCACAGAGTAAGAAAATGTTATGAAGTTATTGGAGATTTTGGTATAGGTGTAGTTTTGGTGTAGACACAAAAAATTATATTGTGTCTAAAAGTTTTCTCTAGTACTTTATAACTGTGCTTCAAATGTATGTGGCTGTAGTCATTTTTGATTTGTTAAAAATTGTGTTTTGAAAATGTACTAGGATCCAGTCAGAAAAGAAATATAAAAGTATGGAAATGAAGGTCAAGATTTCATTGAATTTCTAGAGTCATCAAAATTGGCTCTTTATCATACTCTGCTTATTATAGCAATTGCTTTTTTTTAAAAAGAAAAGCAACTGTCCATTTCTATAGTATTTCATGCATGCCAAGTATAATTTAAATACTTACACTTTAAGAGCCTCTTCATAAAAATTATGAGATCGATATAAAACTGTTTATTTAGTGAATTGTGTTTATGTGGAGTGGACTTAAGGGTAGATTTTAGGATTCATACAAGATTTCCTCAACATGATAAATTGACTTCATTATTTAGTGAATTTCTTTTTCTGCCTTATACAACTTCAATAAACTTGAGCTCTGAAATTGAAAAATCAACAATAAATTAAGTGATAGAGAGAGACCATGTGGCCATGATAACATTCTATATACTTGAGCAAGTATTTATCAAAGATTTTATTTTGAAATTATACACTAACAAAAAATAAATTGCAGACCACCCAAAAACACTACTTTTACAATCAAAAGAGAAACATTGTTTCTCTTTTATCAGCCTCATAGTAATTAACATGATGCTCTGAGATGTTAGTGAAGCTTCTGTCTTCCTCATCTACCTAATTTGTAGTTTCTATAGAAAATAAAGAAATCCAAAGACTATAGGCCCCAAAGGAATCCACAACATTCCTAGTTAAAAATTTCCAATTTTCCTCTACTTTTCCTTTGTATACACTCGAGATCTAGAATACACACAGCACACGTCTTAGGAGAGAAACAGATAAAGGCAGATGGGGTATAAAGTCTAAGTTATCTCCAAGGTAGCTGAGATCATTGCAGTCATCTTTCCAGCAGAATTCAAAGGTGGCAGAAGAGAGGAGTTTAAAAAAATGCAACGTTCCTGAATCCTTTTAAAACCCAAGTACTCAGGAGTTGTTTAAGTATGATGGGACTAGTGAAGAAAGAACCCATAACTTGTGTAAACTCCTTACATTGGATTCTGAGCCTATTGTCACTTGGTTCCATTGACTCCTGAGAGAAGGTAACTTGGGACTTGGACTACACTGAGTGTGAAACTCTTGCAGCTGTTCCAACCCTCCTCCTCCTCCTCCTCCTCCTCCTCCTCCTCCTCCTCCTCCTCCTCCTCCTCCTCCTCCTCCTCCTCCTCTTCCTCCTCCTCCTCCTCCTCCTCCTCCTCCTCCTCCACCTTCTCCTCCTCCTACTCCTTCTCTTCGTCCTCCTCTTCTTCCTTCTCCTCCTCCTTCCTCCTCCTCCTTCCTCCTCCTCCTCCTCCTCTCCCTCCTCCTGCCACCCCTCCTCCTCCTCCTCTCTTCCTCCACCTCCTCCTGCTGCTGCTTTAAACCGACTAGGACAGGGGTATGAACTGGGTGGTGTATGAACTGTGTCGACAAAATGTGGAGGCTGACGGCAGCTGTCCACTCCAAGACTGTGTACCTGAGCATAGTGGCCACTCTGCTCGTCTGCCCAGCCCACTCCTGCCTGCAGCGTTGCTGCTGTCACGCCAGCCGGCGATTTGATAGGCTTGTCGGGTTGCCATGGTGTTGACTTCTTGCCTCCGAGGAGCTGCCCAATGACTGGAGGTCTGGGGTTATAGCGGGAAGAGGCAGCGGCCACAGCGAATTTCAACGGCAGCTGCAGCAGCTAGGAAAAGAAGCGACAGGACGAGAGCTTTAGAACTCAGCTTCTCACCCGCAGCCCGGGCTGCCGGGGACCAGAGCAGAGGGGCGAGGCGGGGAGGGTGGAAGGTCGCAAGGGGGAACCACTGGACACCACAAGAGACCAGCGAGGGGCTTGAGACCCTCTCTGGAAGAACTCCTAAGCAATCTGCACGCACTGAGGGGGGCAGGGGGAATCTTCCAGAATTCGTTTTGATTATTCCCACAAGACATTTCTGGGGAGCAGTAGGTTGGTACAAGGGGATTTAAGTGGGTGGTACACTTCCCCCCCAACAATCACTCTTTCATTTGGGCAAGGAAATAATTTGACAAAGAAGGAGGCTCTCTGCGCAGAACTTCAATTCCTGGAAACCAACTTAATGCGAGAAGAGAAAGTGGAATTAGAGGTTCCAGCAAGTCCAAGACTTTTAGAGTTGCCCTCGGCCGGCGGCCGGAGGGGGGTGTCGCGGGGAGCGGGGTGGGGGTGGGGGGGGTGGGAGGGGTGCAAGTGCAAGGCACCACTCAGAAGGAAACTGGAAACTAGGGAATGAAAGGCAAAGCACCCGCTTCTGTTATAAATTAGTAGGTAGGTGAAGGTTACGCAAAGAAGAAAAGAGAAAGTAAAGCTGTTAAAGGAATAGAATAAAACCCCAGGGAATTCAACCCGAAACCCACCCCCTCTTTCAGTCCCCAATCCAAGGGGAGTAGGGGCGGAGGGGGAGGGGGGGAGTGCATTCTGGTGTGATGAGAACTCTCTGGAATGTCTGGAGGAGAGGATGGAAGTGCGAGAGTAAGAAGACCCGGGTGCTAAATAAACGGCAGGGGGGAGAGTCGGGGGGCGGGGGGGGGGGGGTTGGGAGGGAGGAGGACAGGGGAGGAAAAAGAAAAATTCGGCGTTTCCTTGAAGCGACTCAGGGAATCCGGAGAGCTAGATTCCAATCGCAGCCCAAAAAAGAAGTCCAGAAGTTCAGACCTGGAGCGTGAAGGATGGAGGCAGAGAGAAAAGGGGGGGTGCAAAAGGTGTGCGCTGCGCCTGCAGGATGCGGGGAGGCGACGCCAGCCCACTGCTAGGGGCGACCTCGCCCCGAGGGCCCCGAGCGCACAGAGGGGTGCTGCCTCGGGCACTGGGCTGGAACCCCGCTGGGCAACCCCCGGGAGCTGGGAACCAGGTAGCCGCAGAGCCCGCTCCGGGGCTCGGGACGACGCGGGGACTTTTGGGGCCAGATGAGCTGCTCGGGGAACCCGGCCGGAGGCAGACTCCCCGCGAGTCCCAAACGCCGGCCTCGCAAGTTTCCAGCCACTTTCATTGATTTTCTTTAACAAATAAGCGTCGTGCCCGTTCCTGCAACACCTCCGCTGGCTGCAGCTAGCATGCCAGGGGCTCCGAGGGCTCCCGATTCCTCACCTCCCGACCGCCAAATAAAACGGTTCCCCTCACTCGAAAATGCAAACTGTGATCACACGCACATTGGCGGGGGGGGGGGGGAGGCTATCGTCCGCGCTCTCCTCTTGAATTTGGGGATCACCTTCTTTAGAAAAAGCAGAAGACAGGCCCATACCCAAGTTTGTAAACGGGGTAGGGACTCACTGACATTTGCATATTAATTTCTTCTAATAAGAAGTAACTCAGTTTGGAAGAAGACGCCGGCAAAGAAATTGACCCGTTTTGCCACTGCAAGGAAATGAACACTAGACCGTCAGCCACACCTAGGATACTCCCCTTAAGTTGTCTCTTTAAAAACACATCCTTTAAAATATAAAGTATTTGTTTTAAAGTAGCCCCCCTCCTAAAGCAGTTCCTGCTCGAGGTTCTTCCATACATGTCAAAGGGTTGTTGAATTATTCATTATTGTAATTACTATCATCATTGTCATTATCCCTTTCCATGTGGAAATAATTTTATTATCGTAATTTGATATCTGAAGAATTTCCTGTTAGTCGTTTGATAATCATTTTTTTCTTCTGAAAAGAAAAGTTTTGTTTATAAATGAGGGAGAGAAAATGTTTTAAATGCTTTGATGTTTGCTATAGATTTCCGTTTATCTAATCGATCGGAATGCCAATAAAATCGATTAAAGGTTTAGTGTTTTACAAACAACCATTTTGTGCTTTTTGATTTTACGTTCAGAATGATTTTAATAAAACCAATGCTTTCCTCTAACATACTCTCTTTTCAAAGCCTAAACCTTTATCGTTTTTTCCCTTTATTATTAAGAAATTCCTAGTTAAAGTTTCTGGAATAGGAAAATAAAAATATATAAGCAATGGCTGCAATGGTTTAAATTTCACTGTCTTCTTGCTCAAGATATTTAAATAAAGCCCTTTAAAATCATGGTGAATTATATGCGATCATTCAGTGATTGCGGAATATTAAATTAAACTTAGATAAATCCGCATTGAAGGAGGCAGCACCCAATCCTGAATTTATTTCCCATTTTCTCTAACAGCATCACTGCGCTTCTCTCTTTGCGATGACAATGTGCCAAATCTGAGCATTTTGAAAACATTTTCCATATGCTTTAACAGGGGACTGATAGACAAAGAAGAAAAGGAGATGATCTTTTTGCACTGAGGTATATTTTCCTTAACCTTTTTTTCCTCTTAGATTGTCAGTGATAATGATTTTAAAGTAAAAGTTTGAAAATCATTTACTTCTGTTTTTTGTTGTTGTTGTCTTTTATTCTCCCCTCCCCCCTTTCTTGTTCTTTTTCTCTCTCTTTTTTTTTTGTCTACTTATGATTTAGTCTTGAAATTGAGTTTTGGCTACAATGCAATGTAAAGCTATCATTTCTGCACCTTGGCAAATAATATCTGTTTCAAAATCTTTGATTCATTTAGTGTCTGTAAGCTACCTGTTTAATTAAAGATGTATTTAATTATACATTTTATAACTTAGATCAGATGGGCTGTGTGATGTCAGATTTAAAGGTGTTTTGTGTCTAATATAATATTAAGGCTTCTTATCGACAGGGGCTTTTCTTTAGCTATAAAGGTACCCACTTTTGTGTTGGAAATGTGCACTTTTGAATTAATTTGCTGTTCTTAAAAATATCTATTTGGTAATCAAAGTCTATTGTATTGTCTATATAGCACTTAATTTACATGATATGAATGTTTTAAGTTTAAAAGGATCAAAAGTCTGTATTCAGTTCAATGAAATCACAGTTATTATTACTTTGTCTTTTTTTCTCTGCTTGTCTCTTTCCCTATCTGCATGGTTTTCTCCTAGGTATTTTTTTGCAGACAAAATGTAAAATTTGCGTTGGATATTCATTCTTGTTGGAAATTTCTTCATGCATGTTGAGAAGGCAATGCTTGTGATTCTGGGTTTAGACAGTGATGGTGGTTGTCTGTGTGTTTGTGTGTTTGTGGGGGGTGGGGGGAGGGGAGAGGTGAGGTAGTGGTGATAAGAAACCCTCCTTAATTTGCATAAGAGCCAAGCAAGTACTTGTGAAGTTGTGAAGTGCTATTGTTTGGGGACAGTCCTGTCTGATTATGTTTATAAACACTGGGCTAGTTGCCTAGAAGGAAAAGAGGTCAAAGTACCTTCTGAGCCCTGACCCCTGTAAGACCAGAGGGCATCTGTCTTCTCTCTCTCTCTCTCTCTCTCTCTCTCCCCTCTTTCCCCTCCTTTATAATTCTTCCTCTTCAGACCTCTCCACCTTCGTATTCCTTCCTTACCTGTGTCTAACTGTCTAACTTGCAAAATGACTCCTCCCCACGCCAAACAAAATAAAGCAAAGCAAAACCAAATCGGGTCAGAACCTCTTGGAGTAAAACAGATTTGCAGTAAAGTTAAAGCCCAAACTCGACTTGGGCTGAGAAAGAGAGAAATAGAGAGGAATGTGGATGTATAGGGATAGAGACCAGGAATGGGAGGGGGGGCATATTTATGATTTGAAAGACCACAAGGGAGATAAGAGCCGGGTTGGGGGAGGGGAGGAATCGCAAAGGAGGCATTTACTTGTCCACTAACCCTACACTCACACAGACACTCCAAATGCCTTTCCTTTTTGGATTTCAATTTATCTAGCCCCCTCTCATCATCAAAGACAGTGGTCACTGCCGCTGTACGTTAGGTTATTTTTTAAGCTCCCTCCCTTGTTAGAGCTCAGCAAAATACACTTTAAAAAATGTATAGTAATGAGATATGGCTCTTTCCCATACTTTTTTTTTTATGATTTCACTGTAAATATACCGTGTTTGTGACACCTTCACAAAGAAACCCTGACCTTGTTAATTCCCAGGCCGGTCTCTCACTGCATACAGCCCAAGATCCCCTGCACCTCCCTTCATCCCCAAACCCCCAGCCCCACCCCACCCCCGCCCCCCTCCCACCAAATGACAGACCTGGGTATCAGGTTTAAGTGTGTTTTGGAAAAGAGTTGCTGAGTTAAACAAAATGTTAGTTAACAGATTGCCTTTGTTAAATAGCCCCCGGGTGGAGAAGACCCCCCCCACAAAAAAAGAGGGGGGAGGAGGAGGGACTTGGGATCTGAAAGTGTCTGTAGTGATGTAAAAGGTTCCTAATGCTGAAATCTTGTAATACTTCGTTTCAAACTGAGCTCATCTATAGAACCCCGGAAGCGCGCGCTCAAAAGACTCGTTTCCCCTTGGGCTGGGGTTGCTCTTGAACTGAAGGAACCTGGAGAGGGGGGTGAGGCATTTATTAGTGAACTGGGGAGGGACACGCGAGCAAAGGTGGGGGGGGTGGAGAAAACAGCCTGAAGATTCATTAAACCGATTGTAACTCCAGGCGAGTCAGTGGTATAGGTTTTTTTGGTTTTTTTTTTTTTTTTTGGAAATAAAGTACGCCGGGAGTGGGGGGGTGGGGGTGGGGAAGAAGTCTAGAAGTGGAATTACCTTTTGTCTCCACGTTAAATTGTCCCTTGATTGCGACACTCAACCCCTAACCACCTGGCATCGCTTGTGGGTGTCACAACTCGGCGCTCTGGGTCAGGGGCAGAGAGCTCTGGACTGGG